GTTATATATTCTTTTATGCTATTTGAATTTCTTACCACGTGCAACTAGCACTTTTAAAGTAAAAACATCGAGATGAAAATGAAAAAAAAACGAGGAAGCAGAAATTGATCCTTCTCTGGCAATCAGATGGCTTTGCTCTGGGCAACTCTTAACATGCACAGCTGAGGACAGTGACAGGCAAAATCTAACTGCTTTAGACTGAAGCAAATAATGAGAGATTCATCACCCAAGTCAAGCTGGCTGTGTGGGTGGAGGACTGCGGTCTGTGCCTCTTGTCTGGGTGGGAAAGAATGATTATGATTTAAAAAACAGGCCTTGACTCACAGACATAGAAAACAAACTTGTGCTGACCAAAGGGGAAAGGGGTGGGGAGGGGAAAATTAGAAGTTTGGGATTAGCAGATACAAACTACTATATACAGCATAGATACACAACAAGGCCTGAAGGCATAGCACAGGGGACTGCATTCAATCTCTTGTAATAATCTATAATGAAAAAGAATATGAAAAAGAATCTATGTGTGTGTGTGCGTGCCTGAACCACTATGCTGTGCGCCAGAACTAACGCAACCTTGTAAACCAACTATGTTTCAATTAAAAAAAATCTAAAAACAAACAAACAAACAAGCAAAACCATGCCTTGAACCTGTTTCTTGCTTTCGATGTCCACAGCCTCCTCTCTTTTGTCACATGATGCTCAGGACACAAGGGTCACAGGCCTCAGACTCCTGTGCACCCAGGGGCCGGGACGCAGACTGGCTGGGGGGGGAGGGGATGAGTGTGGGGTGGGGAGATTTCGAGGAGGGGGCCCTGTGGGGAAACCCAGAGCATACCCTTCCTGAAGGCAGAAGTATGCAAGCTCCCAAGACTACTCAGCCAAATAAAGCTCGTTTCTGAAGAATGTGAGGCCCGGGATGGCCATTTGCAGCCACAGTGGGCTGTTCCTCCCTAACACAGAGGACCTGTGGCCCCCAGAGGGCAGGGTACCTCCGAGGACCCAAAGCGGCCCCTTCGGACGGAGGGTGTCATCTGCTCACACCGCCCTGGCCCTTAGAAGGGCTTCCGGAGCAGGCCTGGGTTAGAGCAGGGTGGCAGGAACATCCTTGCTTGGGACAGCCTGGGCTGGGAACATGTCTACTGGAAGCCAGGAAGGCTAATGGCTCCTTGGGTCCCAGCCCCTGTATCAGCAATATGGGATTACACACCGCAGGATGGACATTCCAGTGCCTGAGGTATTCCCCTTATTGTATATACACAAAGACTTCTGAGTTGAAGCCAGAAATCCTTCTGCAGTGTGGCAAACACCCCTCTTTCCCTGCAAGCCGACCATGCCGAGTGTAATCTAAATGCATTCTCACGTCTCCCAGCCATCTTGCTGAAACCTGAAATCCTGTGCTGCCCTGCGACACAGACCTGCTCTCAGGTGCATAAATGGTGACTGACAGCTGCACGTTTGGGCTCTTTTTCTCGGCTGTGTAGCTCTGGGCTTTCCTCTCTCGCTGCCAGACCTCACCTCTCTGCTCTCCACATGCTAGCTGGTGCAAACCCATCTCCGCCTTCATTCACCACTTCCGGGTCTGCTCTGGTCTGGGAATCCAGTCAACCAAGCTTCTTAGGATTCCTTATTAGAAAAAGAAACATCTTTCTTCTGTACAGCAGAAGAAAGTGCCTATTTTTACGTCCTGTCTTCTGCCTGTCCTCATGTCTGCCTTAGTTACTGTGCTGAACTGCACGAGGTTTAGCCGGTGGACACTGATGTCTCTTGTGGTTGCATTTCTCTCCTCACTTAGGGTTCTTAGTTGGATTCTGGAATCTAGATGGATCAAATTGTCAGATAAACAAGTGTCAGGTAATTGAAAAGTCTTTTGGGGGTTTGATTTAGAGCATATTCAATGATTCTGGATGACTTAAATATTTGTTGCTGTTCACTGAGCCCTACCACCCAAGACAGAAGGCGTCCCTCTTGTCTGACCGGTGTTAGGTCTGAAACATCTGAATGGGAAATAGAGACATCTCCAGTCTTTATTTAAGCTGATTTTTTGGTAAGGGCTTAGCAGACAGGTTTGTATTTCTTTTTCCTTTCAAGATAATTTTAGAGCCAAAGTGTTCTCCCGTTATCTGAATTACGTGTGACAGAATTCCCACCTCAACTGTCAAGATTCAACCTATGAGAAAATTGCCAGTGAATAAGGAGGATGAGTGCTTTTTCTAACTTGACATTTTTAGGAATTTGAACCATCTGTCATTTTATAGATGAGCAGAACCTCTGAGCACTAGAGATATAGGTTGATTACACGTCAATAAAAATAAGAATTAAAGAGCAACCTTTTTTCCCCTCGATTGTCTACTATATTTCAGATTCTGTGCTAAGCTCTTTTATCTCATTCAGTAATCATCAGAACCAAGCCATGCAGGTTATGACCCCTCCCATCAGATAAAGGAACGGGGGATCCAGGTAAACCAGGTGTCTTAGTCAAGGACAGGGCAAGATCAAGACGCGAGTGCATGCTCTGATCACAGGTCCACAGCTTTTCGTGGTGAGCCTCCCCCTCATCCGTCAGCCTAACGGAGCATGTAATGTAACCCATCACTGGTGACAGAGACTCTCCCTTACCCAATCTTAGGCAGACTCCTCTGAACCCTCTCTTCAATGAGGCCCCTGACCTTTGGGCTTTTGTGTTTGTCTCTGCATCACCCAATTTTAGCAAAATTCCTGCTAAGTTGGTTTAGCCAGAACCCCCATCCCCCGCTCGAAAT